TGGCCGGGCACGCTGTCGCATACACGTCCCAGTGGGTGGCCAGGGGGGAAGCCTGGGCCCGGGCGGCCGGGGACCATACACCGGCCAGAGACCAGCCCCGCCGGGCCGCCACTGCCGTCGCCAATGCCGGCGAGCCCCACGCACGCAGGGCTCGCACGGCCGTCCTTGAAGCCAACATACGATGAGAGGGGCCGAGGGAGAGGGCGAGAAGAAAAGAGAGGCGCGCGCGCACACACAGACAGACAGACAGACAGACAGAGAGAGGGAGAGAGAGAGAGAGAGAGAGAGAGAGAGGGAGAGAGAGAGAGAGAGGGGGGGGGGAAGGGGGAGGGGGGAAACAGAAGTTGCCATGCACCCTGGGAGAGGCGCCCCGCGCATGCAGCCCACGCCCACAAATAGATCCACAGACAGCCTCTCTACCGCCCGTAGGGAACCCGGCGAGCGAGGGGGGGAGGGACACATGAAATGCCCCGCTCGTGACACGACACGTGATCCCCACTACTGCCAACGCTTGTATGAATGCCGCAGCCTAGGTATATAAGGTTGCGGCCCCTGTTCTGTCCACCGATGCGTCTGCATCGCTGCCTATTGTATATTCCCTTTGCACCCAGATATACACATTACCGTTCATCCACGCGTTGCCCGATTCCACCCAGGGATCACACCGCTGCGTTTCACACACCACCGAGAGGGCCGCACCAAACACAAACCGGAGAAAGGCCTCCCAACCAGCGGTCCGTTCGTTGGCTGTCGCTCTCACATTATCAAGCCATCTAAGGTCACATTTTGTTTAATGCAATAATACTTTTGCCAGAGTGCCCGCATGAATTCGGTCCAACGTGAGCCAGTTGTGCGGTGGGGAAAGATGCGGGGTCGTCCCAGAGACCCTTGGACCGGTTATGCCGAAGTGAAAGATGAGGGGGCGATCTCAGAGACCTCAGGGCTGAGGGACGCGGAGTTGGTGTATCATGGAGAAAGAATCCGCCGACTGAGGCGGGAGGTGTGGGAGAATGCTCACCGGAAGGAGGAACCTTGTGTGCTCCCGAAGCTGAACAACATCGTTAGATTTTTCGGTACTGCAGATGCTTCTGACAATGCCCCACCTCGCAGGAATGCGGCGAGAGAGCCGGTCGCCGGGAGTGGTCGCCTCCGCTCGGGCTTTGAGCACCGCGCCAGCGCGGAGCTCCCAGATCTGCCCCTTTTGACCGGGGGGGGGGACCCGACGGTTCAAGGGGCGATGTTCTCGCTGGAGTCTCCTCGGAGCCAAGACCCTGCCAGCTATGTGTCGAAGAGCCACATCACTGACACACCAATCACACCTGCGAACACCTGCTCTACGCCCCCCCCCCCTCTCTCGAAGCCCTCTCATTTTATCCAACCTCCTTTGCTTTGCTTGCTTTCCAGCTCGCCGCAGGCCGAGTTGCAAGACTCTCTTGCACCTTCCAGGCAACAGCATATTCCCGGGTTCAGCTCGCCCTCTTTTGGAGCCTCGAACGCCCCGGACCAGGAGCCGGTGTCCGATGCGGCCTCCGGCACAACCTCACTCCTTCGACGTAGGATCGGATCCACGTGAGCCCTGCACCATAACCGGTCATCACTCCTGTGTCCCCCCCCCCCCCTCCTCCCCACACACACACACACACACACACACACACACAACGCACTGTCCCATTCTAGTTCGCCAGGAGACGCACACTGCTTGGGGGAGGGGGGCCCGGGCAACGACGCAGTGCCCGCGCCGGCGCCAAACCCGGCGCCCTTTTTCGCCCCGGGGTCACTGGTGCGGGCTTTCCTCTCGACCCCTGGACTGCTCCCCTCCCCCTGCCCTCCTGTACATATTGCCCGCGGTGCGGTCCCGCTCACTGCCTACCAATGCTGCCCCTCCGGCCACAGACATGCCCCCTTGTGCGTGCATGGGTTCGCAAAGGCCGGCGAGTGAAGGCGGAAAGGAAAAACCGACCCGGCTTCTGTTGCCCCTTCTCTCGCCCTTCCAACCCTTCCCGGGCCTGGCAGAGGCTCCCTCCGCCGACCCCGCACTGGCACATGGCCTCGCCCGCTCTCCGGGCCAGGAAAGGTGCTCTCGTCCCAGCACCACAAGAGTCACGCGCAGGACCCGGGTCGTGGCCGATGTTCCGCCGATACCATGGAAGGCGCAGCGGCGGGGCGTCTGTCGAAACGTCCTAACCGCAGGGGATCAAGCGCAAGCTCTCGAAGAAGGCCCCCCCCCCCCCTCGAGGCATTGACCCGCCCCGCTTCACCAGCGCCAAAAGCCGCGAGAGGCAACATTAGCATGGCCGGATAGGCCGGCTGCAAGCTTGTCCAGCTCATGCCGCCTCCCATTCGTATGCGTGCGCGCCAGAACATCGACGCACGCTGGCTGACTGACACACCTAGACACGTAAGCACGAGCATGCACAGACCGAAAGAGAGAGAGAGAGAGAGAGAGAGAGAGGGGGGGGGGCGATAGAGGGAGGGCAACAGCAAACACCGTGCTCCCCTTGCTCTTCTATGCACACAAGCAAGCATGTTCTCATCCCAGCGCCACCAACCCGCCTGGCTACTTGTCCAAATGCCCGGCCAACCGACAGACATTCTCCCCTCACATCCCCCCCCCCCCGCCAGGCCCTTTTTCGGTCAGCAACCCATCGGAGAACACATATCCATTGGGCAGCGGGCTCCGCAGCAAGGAGACGCCAAAGAAAGAGCCACGTCAGTCCGGCCATGGATGCGTCCATGGCCCCGCTCGCGCAGCCGATTCGCCGCTCAGCGCACTTGCACAATCAGTCTACATGTAGAAGGAGGACGGATCGAAGCATGCCGTCAGTACCAACACCCATGGCCCCTCCTGGTCGAGGTGTGATGTTGCCCCCTCGATCCGCCCCGCCCCCCGCCGCGCCCATTCCCGGGGGAAAGTAAACACGCACCACGGATGACACTCATCGAGATGGATTCTGCGCCGCACCATCCCCAGGCGACAGCCAATGGCATGGAAGCCGCGGAAGCCACACAGATGGTGGCGTCCAGTCGGCACGGTGCGCCTCAAAATGTCAGTCAGCCGGCCAAGAGACCCGGGAGCTCCTCTCCCCCATCACCCGACAAGCATGCCCTTCCGGGACGCACCCTTGGAGGCGGCCGACTTGCGCGCCCGCAGCACCAGGAACCCGGCCACCAGGCCTCCAACAATCAGCAGGCCCAAGATGCCCAGGCCCACGCCCAGACCAATGGCTGGCAGCCGGGGGCAAATAAAAGTCAGTCATCTTGCCGGTCAGCGCGGCCGACCGGCGGCCCATCGATGCAAAGCGCGATGGCCCCCGCCCCCGCCCCCCCCCCCCCCCGACCGCCGATCACGCCCGAGACCGGACATACCTAGGCTCCGAGAAGCGCCACTCTTCTCATAGCGCGTACATTCCCAATGGGTATTGCCCGTGCACTCGAGGCATCCCGGTTGGCAGTCGATGCACGCCCTCGCATTGGGATCATACGGACTGTACCCGACAAAGGTGCCGACCGGACATTCGGACACGCATGTCCGATCCTTCGGCATCAGCACCAGGGGACTCTTGCAGCGGTCGCACTCGAAACGCCACGGGCACTTCAGCGATCCATCCTCGTGGCTAATCGCGCACAGGGTCCTCCTCTCGTAGCTGTCCGAGCTTTCCGAGGTGTAGCCGCTCGAGTGCGAATTGTCCTGCCAAGACCAGTCGCTGCACTTGTCGCAATTCTCCGGACAGGTGAAGCACATTTTGCTGGTATCATGATCGCCGATAATCCTGCTGTCAACACCGGCGAAGCCCGAATTCGGACAGGCATCCTTGCACTCGCCCGTGTCCACCATCAGCCACTGGTCGGCATCCCGACAGGAGGTACACATGCTGACCTTCTCGTGGCAGGTGCGGCAATTCTCCTGACAAGCGACACACTCGCCCTTCCTCACATACGCCGGAATGCCCGACGGCGAGCACTTCTCGATGCACAAACCCTCCTCCGGGAAGAACACCAGCGGCTCGGCGCACTTGGTGCACCGTTGCTGGCAGGTTCCCTGCCAATTGTCCGAGTGGCCCTCGCATTGAAGGCAGTTTTCGTCGCAGGCGATGCACTCATTGGAATCCGGGCAAATGGTCCACCCTTGGGGGCACCCCTCGGCCAGGCAGGACCCCTTTACGAGGAAGGCATCCTCCTGGCAGGCCATGCACCAATCCTCTCGGAGGCAGCTGCTGCACATGGCCGAGCAGGGCTGGCAGGCTGCGGAATCCTGCGGCCCCCGGGTTTGGACAAAGTATCCCCCTGGGCAGGACCCCATGCACTTGCCGTCCATGGTCAGGACATTGTCGTGCCAGCAATTGGTGCACTTGGCGGGTCCCGGCCCGGAGCACTCCCGGCATGTCGAGTCACATGGCAGGCAGTCCTCCCCGGAGGCATAGCTCCCCGCCGGGCATCGCTCATAGCACCCGCTCGGGAGGTGAAAGGGATGGGTGCGCCTGCAGCTGAGACAATGCTCACCACCCGGGCCCACACAATCGGAGCATCCGTCCGAGCAGGTATAACACTCCGTGCCAACGCGACTCGCCCTCTCGGGGCACGCCGACACGCATTTGCCGGTCGCCGTGTTCAACAGCCACCCGCTGGCGCACTTGGCGCATGGGACATCCGTTGCGGCTGACGCGCCCTCCAGGTAGTGGCAAGTCGCGCAATTGGCGCTGCACCTGGAGCAACTGCCATCAGGCCATACGGTCGTTCCGGCCGGGCACTGGGTGACACACGCTCGGCTGCTGCCGCCGCCGCCGCCGCCGCCGCCGGTCGGCACATCCAACGACAGCAAGCCCGCCGAGCATTGGCCCAGGCACTGAGTATTCGACGGACCCGTGCACCTGTCGCAAGACACATGGCACCGCTCGCACCGGCCCTCCGTCGCGTAGTATCCATCCGGGCAGGTGGACACACACTCGGTACCGAGGAGGACCCTCCCCGGCTGGCAAGCCCAGCACTGGTCTTGCGCCAGCCCGAAGCACTGCCCGCAGGAATAGTGGCACGATACACACAAGCCCGGCACCTCGGGAATCGGCACCTTGCCCGCCGGGCAGCTGGACACACAGTGCCCCACCGCACGTCCCGGCTGGAGTTCCAGCGACAGGTCCCCGACGCAGCTAAGACACTCGTTCGCCGACGGCCCGGTACATGTCCGACATGTGGGAGCACATGACAGAAACCGCTGTGATGTTGAATCCTTCCAGAAGCCCGGCTCATCTACCGCCATACAATCGCCCAGGGGGTCGAGGGCGAAGCCCGCCGTGCATGCATGGCAGACAAAGAATCCGGAGCTCCGGCTGCAGCTGACGCAATTCTTCGAGCACCGGCTACAGGTGGATACCTCGCCCGAGCCGCCGATAAAATGCGTATCGGCCCAACCATGATTCGCCGAGCAATTGTAGCACTTCTGGTAGTTGTCGGAGCAGTCGCGGCAGCTCGGGTCGCAGGGCAGGCATCGGTTGAGGATCGAGCGATAGTCCCCCGGCAGGCACGTGTGGCTGCAGAGGCTCTCCACATTTGGGTCCGACGAAAGGAACACCAGTCCCGGCAGGCAGGTAAGGCAAGACTCGGCCCGGGTGCACGTGGAGCAGGACACATTGCACGGAAGGCAAGAGCCGGTCGGGCTGCTGAAGAATCCCTCCGCACAATCGGCCGCCCTTACGGCGCCCAGGATCGAGGCTACCAGGCCCAGAAGCAGGACCAGCCCCAGGAGGGCCGTCCTGCTTGGGCGCAAGCGAGGGGCCTTGCTTCGCATGTGCGATGGAGATCGGCCGTCGGCTTTTGTACGAAGCCAGGAGGGATGAAGGATGAGGGGTGGGGAGGTGGAGTCGTTGGAGAAAGAGCAACGCTGGAAGGGGCGAGGGGGGGGGGGGGACCTAAAGAGGGGGGGGGGAGGTCATCTGCCTACCGTGAACCACTCACTTGCCTCCCTCCGTGGGTCCTTATATAGGGCCCCGGAGGCCACCGTCCGGGCCGCCCCTGGCCTATGCTTGGCTACCGAATGAAGAAAAAAAAAAGAGAATGCCCCGTGTGCCCTCCCACCGCAACCACCCCGGACGCGAGAGGCCGCACCGGCTGCGGGGAGACCCCAACCGCCCAGCAACCCGGGCCGACGCAAGCAGCCGGCCTAGCGGCTGGGGGGCCCACACCTGCCCCTTCTGGACCGCCGCCGCCCTTCTTCGTGGCGGGAGGGGGGGGGGGGGGGGGACTCGACCCCGGGAAGCCCCGCCACTCAGCGGCCTCTTGTTGTCGGCCGGTGGGACCCGGGCTACACGCCCAGTCTCTGGCGCCGACCACGGCCATGTCGCCGGAGTGACCTGGTGGCCAGAGGTGCCCGGCGCTTGGCCCATCTCTCCTCCTCGCCCCCGCTCGCGCGTCCCGAGTACCACCGCGCCGTCGGGGGACTGCCCCTCTGGAAACGCCAAGCTGGCCCGTGCGCACGCCCTTGATCGCCGGAAGGGTGCTTAGACCATAACGACACCCGAGCACACGGCACATCGTTCGGAGACAACCGCCCACACGCACGCACGCACGCACACATGCATACATACACGCACATATGCACGCACGCACATGCACACACGCACATGCACACACGCACATGCACACACACACACACACACACACACACACACACACACACACACACACACACATACACACACATACACCTACATACACCTACATACACCTACATACAATGGTGACCACGCGCGTGGATGCATACCAACGAAAAGTGCACTTATGCGGAGCGCCCTTGCCAGACACAGCGCGCACACGATCTCACGTCCGGGGGGTCTCGATTGTGCGAAGAAAACCGTTGGCACGCGGGGCGAGTAAACATCGGTCGCGCCAACTCACCCCCCCCCCCCCTGGACAACTCCTCGCGGGAAATACCACCCACGCCGCGTGTCTGCCCCAACTTCCCATTGCAGCATCTTCCGGTGGTGCTTGGGCAACCGGGCGAATAGCACCACGATGTCGGATCAAAAATAAACCCGATCAGGCCCCAGCCCCCTCCTCCATGTCCCGTCTCCTCGGTCCCCGCCCCGGACCCGCCACCATGACCGCACAGCCAGGCACCCCGCCCTCGCCGGCTGGCCGTGGAAAGCACGATCGCCCGCCGGGCCTGCCGGGCCCCGCCCCGACCGTGGAGCTGCCTGGCTAAAGAACCCTGCCCCGTCCTCTGGACGCCGCTCCATGCGGCCGTGCACTCTGGCCAGGACCTCCCGCTTTAGACACGCCGCAGGCATCCCGGGGGACATGGGCCCCGAGGCACGACACCACAGCGCATTGGTCCTCCAAGGTGATCCAACCTCTTGGGCCGGCGTGCCTGCCCTACTTGGGCACGCGCTCGCCGGCGTCAAATCCTCGCCCACCCGACGCCTCGACACCCCGGAACACCGCTACATCTCCACCACCACCCGACACACGCCCCAAAAGTCCCCACCCACCCGGACGAAGCGCCTTCCAATCGTCCCGCGCACGGCCCTCGCGGCCCTTTCACATGGGTCTCCCCCCCCCCCCCTAGTTCCTGCCAATAGCCCATCTTGTGGTTGCCCAACAAAGCAGGAGTCCCACCAGCTCAGGCCTGTCCCCCCGAGACCAAGCCCATTTTCGGTGGGCGCTTCCACAAGCCCACACACCAGAAAAAAACAGCTCTCTCCCAGGCGCAGAGGCGAAAGGATCCAAGAGGGAGAGAGAGAGAGAGAGAGAGAGAGACAGAGAGAGCCCTGTGGAGAAATGCCGCGAAGAGCCGGCCCGGTCTCCTGGCCACCGCATCGAGGTCCGCCGCGGAAAAATGACGCCCCTGGCCCCGCCAGTGGCAAAGGCCCCCAACCAGGGGGACGGCTTTCGCCACTTCGGGGCGCACAAACATGGCTCCTCCGGCCGTTGCTCCATGACTCGCTCCTCCCGGCTATTGACTTCGCCTTCCTCGCCCACCGCACCCCCCATCTTGAGAGGCCCTCATCACGCACTCAAACACAAATACACACAGACACACGTCGCCCACTCCCCGGCGGACATTCGACCCTCCCTGCCCGAGGGGAGGCTCAGCCGCGGACGGAAACCGCCCGACGCGCGATAATCTTGTCCCGGGGCATGTGCACCCGCACCGGGCGGCCCCCCAGGCTTTCCTTGCCAGCGCGAGGCCGGAATGCCGGGCGCTCTTCCGACGGCACTACCAATCAACCCCGCCCCCCCCAGACACCGTCCGAGGATCGAGCCCGACATGTGAAAATCTCAGGGGGTTCGTGAGACCCGGCTAGGGAATCTTTCGACCCACCAGCTGGGCGTGCGAGCCTCCCCCATGCGGCGGCAAGCGGAACGCCGGCCCCGGTGCCCGGGCGGAGAGAGTGCGGCCAGCGACAAGGCCCATGTCGCCCCCCTTCGCCCAGGAGAGCCAGCACACGAACTGCACGCTTCCTCGACCGGCCGCCGAAAAATGCAAAAACCCCAAGAGATCCGGCACCTTGGCCAACGTCAGTCAGGACCGAAGGACCACGGGCGGATGAAGCCCTCCTTTTGGCGATGCTCGGGGGGTACTCTCGCCCCAAGGCGCCCCCTGTGCCTGGACATGTGTATGTGTGGATGTTTCGCGGGAGAGAGGGAGAGAGGGGGAGGGAGAGAGGG